CCCCTTACTAGTAATTGCTACTTTTTCATTTTTATCTAATCCCCACGTGACCCCCCTTAAATCCTCCGACCCCACTAGGCGATACAAAGTGACCAGTCCCTTAAAGATATTGAAATTAAAACGTGTWAAAGCTTGTAGTGAGATGTCTTTAATAACACCTTCAGTGAGATATTTGTCAAACCTTTTACGACTAATGGACATATCATTACGCAACGTGACACACTCAAGTGCAAAAGGAAATCGCGCGCCGGAAATCAGCGCACGTATTTCACACATTTAAAATCACTCACATATCACGGAAATGATGCAAAAATCACGCATAGATAACAAAAGATCACACACTGACAAGAGATAATGGACTTTATCTATTTTATCTGACTCTATTTCTCTTGKTTAAAAATAGGCGAGGATGCACCCGGTTTGTGGGTTGGAAAAGTTTACTATTAGHGTCGTCACGCCATGCTCACTCCCCTAAAAAGCTACTTAGGGKAGYTASYTWMTCCTGTAGTATGGAAGCTGCACAATCTAGGAGGATTATTTGAACTTTAAAACGGTTGTCATTCAATATTTTGACATTGCCAAGGGAATAATACTAAGAGCTGCACTAATAACACCCACTTGCTTTTAAACATAAAGCGTTTTCTTTGTCTTGTACGACTTCCACTTCAATTTTAATAGATGCTTGCGCGAATATAGACAGAATAGTACACCGCAATAAGTTTTCTGACAAAAAAATCCCTCATAYAAACAAAAAATAGCGGCTGCGTAGGAGACGTCTTCCATACTAACTCCTTCAATGGGAACTCAACAAAGGAGCACTTTACAAATGTAGTTGATAATCGTTGAGCAACTCTTAGTGATTATTCATTATAACAATAAAATAAGTTAGTTTGAATGACAACATTAAAAGTAAAAAGTTAAATTTTAAGATTAAAATATGAATTTTTAATTCAAAAGTCTTTACGATCAAGTCATCAAGAGTACAAAATGACAAAAAGAAAAAATTTTTGGGGTTTTTACTGTATTTATTCGTTAACAATTTAATGTGTATTTAGACACAATCCCCAAATCATAGAACAAAATTAAATCTTTCAGTTATGAATTAAAAAAATCATTTTAAAATATTCCGAAATGCAATATTTATTGATAACAAAAAGAATTATTAATGAGTTTTCCATTTTTTAATAATATATTGTTTACAAGTTTATGATTAAAGGTATAATAGATTTTATTTGAGAAATAGGAATCCTTGTGTAATGTTTGTGTGAGTGAGATAGAGCATAAAATGTTCAGTTTTAAACAGAAAATGTGGTTTTAAAATTAAGAGGTTATATTTGATAAATTACGAGGTGTGGTAATAGTAAAAATTCCGAAAAAAATAATTTAAAGCCCATTTTATATTTGGACCCAACATATTTTTATCAACCAACCATTTGTTTGGCATACGACCCAAAACCGTTTCATTGTATTGTTTTTAATATTAAATGCTTATCAAATGCTAAAAATAGCCCATGTTGGCTCAGTTTTTCATTTCATTTAGCAGCGATTTGGTATCTCCACCAACACCCCCCTCCCCCTCCCCCCTCAAAAAAAACCCTTCATCTCTATGAAGAGCAATATATGACCTTGTGAGCTGCTTAGAAACTGCATACTCTTAAATAAAAATTGAGATTGCCAATCTACTTGTTTTCAATCACTAATGCCTGATTGATTAACAAATGAACACTTTTTAATGGAGTTATTTATTAATTAATCATTAACTCCATTAATCAAACCATATAAATAAATGATGCTTCTTAGTAATGTTTCTGGAAAAAGCTCTTAAACTTTCTGTACTTTTTACCCCTTTTAGCCCTCAAGATTTTCCAAGTCTCATTCATATAAATGTTTTCCATTGAGCATGACCGGAAAATGAAGAAACCATACTCAAGGGAATTGGTTTAAAACGAGAAAGCAATTCCCCTTCCTTCCTATGTTAAGAGATATAATGAAACCAGTCTCCCTAGTTTGTCTTCAAAAATTATAGGACAAAGCAACTATAATAATGCATGGATCTACCTTCTTTGCCTTGCTCATCTCTTACTAAACATATCTAGTGTTGCYCCAAGTGCCCAGCTCACTTCAACATCGTTAATTTTCTTCTGTAACTGAAATGGATTAGAAAAACGTACATTAGTACTTCAGAATACTGAGAACGAAATTTGAATTACATGTTAATTAACTGATTATTATTTAAATTATTTTTAGATAATTAAAACATTTTTTAAACAATAATGCAAGTTTTGAAGACAAAGAGACTTTCGCAAGTTTATGAAAATTGCAGTAAAATGTTCTCCAAAAGTTACTCATGCAAAATGGCCAACCAGCAGATCCAATGTCCTGTCACATTTGGMACTTGGCCGGTTAAATGTTTGCCTCACTAGTCATGTTGATCAGTAATGTTAAGCCAMAAATGAGGTACAGCTGTATGACCAAGCTCATTTTACTGGTCATAATGAATGGCGAGTGATTGGCCATTATTTTAAGCAATGCCCTGGAGCTGCATGTGGTCATACTAACTTACAATTAGTTTTCTGTCATTGTGGAATCCATAACCATATTTTAGTAAGGCAACAATGTATGTTGCATCCAAGCTTGCAAGCTTATTGGCTCTGATTCGAGATGAAGAGAACACTACAAATGAAAAAAAGATTAGGTCTCTTTGTCAAATTCTGTCACTTATTTTACCCCTGGTTATTCCCAAGGATGGCACAAGAGGTGTGTGCTGCTGCTAATCCATGCACCATCTCTCATCCCTGTGGTCACGGGTTTGTCTCCCCATAATATTAGAGGAGAGTGGCTAGTTGGTTGAAGGTTTTCTACAGATTCTCCAGTTTTCTTCCAGTTTTCTCTGCAAAAATCAACTTACAAATTCCAATAAACATTTTAAGCTCTGGTGTAACGTTTTCCCATTTCAGACCACATGTCATTCCCAAGAGGATAATTTCTTTATTTAACAGTTTAGCATGAGAAGAGAAAATAATATGGATACAACATAAACAAAGAATCCTTTTCTCAAGAGAATAACATGTGGTCTGAATTGGGAAAACATTACATTCAAGCCCAAAAGGTCTATATATGTATTACTCATGGAACGAGGATGGTACCACGAGGATCACAGGTTGGTTAGTCCCTGGCTATCAAGTGCTACATGTACCCTCATCAATACAAGGACAATAATTTACCATGATCTCTAAACAGATCACCTTTAACTACAATTAGTGTGAAAAAAATTCAAAATTTATTTTTTTACAAAAACTTACAAATTTCTCTCACACTAATTGGTTAATTTTTATCATCAATTAAGAGGACAGACAGATAAAGCTGACGTCAACGTGTGTGCGCTCTTTCCGTTAGTTGTTTTGATCAGTAAAAATGAGAGGTTTTTATCGTTTTTGTTATTGTAAAAAACAAATTGACATCAGATTTTTATGTCTCTCCTCTTATTGACGATAAATTTTGCCATCTCACTGTCATTACGCCTCGTGGATCCACACTACTTTGACAATGTGATGACGCAATTTATCCTCAGTAAGAGGACGGACACATAAAAATCTGATGTCAATTTGTTAAATTGGTATTAATGGAAATATAATAATTTTAAAGTCTATATATTTTTACAAACTTAAGTACCTTCTTTTGTCTTCTCTATGAAATCCCCAACRGTTATAGTTCCTCCTTTTCTAACGTCTGCCAAGAAAAAGCAAAACCAAACCATATTGGTTTGTTACTCAATGATACAATTAAGGAACCTCTCAGTAACATTAGACTGCTCAGACTTTTTTCWATCTGTATTCATTAAATTTTCTTTCATGGCATTTTCTCATTTTATTCAGTTTTCGTCTGGGTCATAAAAATATAGAGTTGAATACAAGTATTGCACTTACCTATCAGATTCAAGTCAACTGCTCGATCATAAAAATATGAAAAGATGTAAAAYGTTTGCTCATTCATTTCATCTGCCAAAATACGATGAATATAATTTAGAAATATAATAAATATATAAAGATGATACAGTATATGCATGGAATAATACCAGAATACAAAAGACTGGAAATTTATCACATAGACCTATATTCACCCTAATGTCTAATGTTACCCTGCAGGGCATAATTTTACCACTCCTTTTTCAGACCATGTGTCATTCCCTAGAGTATCATTTCTTTGTTTAATGGTTGCACATGAGAAGACACAGGAATATGGATATCATTCAAACAAAGAATCTTATTCTCAAGAGAATGATGTGTGGTCTAAGATGGGAAAGCAATCAATCCAAGGTGAAGAGGTCTATTAATTTGATCATAACATCTTCCACAAGCAGGTGGGGTTAGTGTGGGCCCCAGGGGGGGCTCCCATATATTGAATGGCGGGGATGCTTGTCATATCTTTAAGGGGAAAAATCGAGGATTTTTCATCTTCTACTAGCAGGTGGGGTTGGTGTGGGCCAAATTTACAATTTGGAGAGGTCTATTAATTTGATCACATCGTCTCCCACTAGCAAGTGGGGTAATTAGGTGGGCTAAATTTATCTAAATGTCAATTTGACCTTGAATATTCACAAATCACTCTCTGTTTTTTTTTTTACCTTGCCTATCTATTACGGGATTGATTATTYTTTTGACATGGTCCAAACAGGCATCAAAACTGTAGTTTGAGTGTCCACTGCAATAAATGAAAAGGTATTCAGCTATCGATTAATGCATACTTTTCAATGACTGAGAGGYTGCTTTTATTCCACAAAGGAAATAAAAAATCTATAAGCATGCTGTTTGTAGTTATAAAGCACAAAATTATACAGGAACGAGTAGAAGGAAAAATTGTTAGGGAAAGCATGACGTATAGCAGAAAGCTTCTTCAATGCTTCTTGAGGGTTCTGCCAATTCCAAATACTGAAAACAGTACAAAAGGGAGGTTTTTCTATATAACATAAAATATAAAATAATATTATTTTATCTAAAAGAGAATGAAAAAAAAGAGGGCATGAACATCATGTTATATGTGTGCTCTCATAATGAAACCCTCATAATGCATATATGATATGCCTCAGGGCCAATCAAGTACATGACAGTTATTTTTACAGTGTASTAACGAAATTAACTTGGCCAACCTGATAAAATATATGCTAACAGTAAGCAATGATCCTATCTCTAATCTGGTTGCACCCTACCTGACTGTAATAGTCTTTCCACCAAACATCCAATTGACAGTATGACTTGGAGAAACACAGGGACTTTGACGGATATCATTACCATTGGCTAAAGATGAAAAATACACACAAAATGAAATAGCTTTTTTCTGGTCCAGTTTATCCTAAAAATTGTGCGTCTGATTGGTTGCACGAGCAGGCGGTATTTTCTGCTTGAGGTCCAGTGTCCTGTCATAAGGCTACTTCATCCATTTAGCAATCACAATGGAAAATGAATAGTTAAACAACAACAAAATATTACAAAACAAGTGGAAAAGCAAATGGGGAAAAAATTATTACAAGCTATTTATACCAGCAGTCCAGATAGGTAAAAACTGTGCCCTCAGTATTGAAAATGAATATTGGCCTAACAACCTTGGAGGTACATATACTCAAGACYTCATGCACAGTTTTCCCTAATATTCAGACCTCCGGGCCRGTAAATAACATTATTATTATATACTCTGTTGGGATGCATTAAGGTCAGTGCTGCATCTCACCAATGCAACTCAGTAATGGTTTGACACTCTTATCACATGTGGATTATGAGTATTTACTATTGGAAATGCCTGTTTGAAGTAGTATTTTCAATTGTACAAAGATGTTTTGTTGCATTTGTGT